TGGTGCTGAGGATCGAACTCGGGCCGCATGCATGCCAGGCGAGTGCGCTACCGCTTGAGCCACATCCCCAGCCTTAGCTTTCGATTCCTGTTTGTACAGCTCCCCAAGTTTAGCCCAGAGGTCTTTTCAGGTCTTTTCTGAGCATGGGCTCAACCTGAGTAAGCATATGGACTTCTAGATACCCAGAAGAGATGAGAGATTTTCAGAGTTCATATTCCTCAAAACATCTTATTTCTATGTTTTCAATTTGTTTATTTCAACAAAAATGTTCTTCCTTACAAGAATTAGCAATGCTCCTGCCAAAACTTCCAAAGTAGTTGTCATCATAGGTTTATACCATCATGCCCTGCTACTTTTGATGGGTTTCTAAAGATCCCAGTAAAGCTGATTCTGATTGTTGATTGCACCTTAATTTGTCTTATTTTAAAACAATACATTTTTCATTACAAGTGGGAAAAAAATAACCAAAACTGATTGAGTGAAGGATTTTCTTGGTAGTTTCTACAAAATCCTTGAAGTTCACTGTTATTAGATCAAATTAAGTCACTGAGAAATCTCTCAATCACTATGGCCAATGGAATGCTATGCTCTGGTTTACATAGGCCTGATTATTCCATCCCTAGGGTTAGGGTTAAAACCTACCTTCAACACATGGACAGAGAATAAAAGGGGTAAAAGCGGGGAATAGAAGAAGTGGGAGGAGGAGAGACAAACAAATATTTTGTGGAGTTCTTGGAAACTTAGCAATATACTGAATTTGTAGAAACTTGTTTTAAAGGATTAAGGTGATCCAATTGGGTAATTAAACTTTATTGCAGATGTGAGAAAAGTTTCTTTGAAGCAAGAGATCTTCGCCAGCATATGAACAAACATCTTGGTGTAAAGCCATTCCAGTGCCAATTTTGTGATAAGTGTTATAGTTGGAAGAAAGATTGGTATTCCCATGTGAAGTCTCATTCTGTCACTGAGCCTTACAGGTGGGTAAATTTGAAAAGGAACTGAAATTAATCGAGAAATACATGTATTTTGATTCTTAGGGCTTCCGGTGCTTTGGAAAAAGCAATTTAGGTCTTTTCCCTTATTTTAGATGTAATATATGTGGCAAAGAATTTTATGAAAAAGCTTTATTCAGAAGACATGTAAAGAAAGCCACCCATGGGAAAAAAGGGAGAGCAAAGCAAAACCTGGAACGAATATGTGAACAATGTGGAAGAAAATTCACTCAGCTGAGAGAATATAGGAGACACATGAACAACCATGAAGGTAACTATATGTGATACCACAGACATCTAAACAGAATAAAAGCCAATCCAGTAGTGATTCTATCTTTGAAGATTTATTCAAGTAACAGAGGTGATCCTGCACCTGAGAATATAATTACTTGAAAGCTGCTTCCTTATTGTAGGATTATAGGATTGCTGCAAAAGAAAAAATGAGATTTTGCATAGAAACTCAGTTTTTTTCTAGTAACTTCTATCCATGAAAACATTTTTTGTGAGATTATAGTGCAGAATCTTGCTTATTCTAAGGAAAACCATCAGGTGCTAAATAAAAGATTGCCATAGAGGGCTGGGATTATGTTTCAGTGGTAAGAGTGCTTGCCTATCATGTGTAAGGCACTAGGTTTGATTCTCAGCACCACATACAAATAAATAAAATAACAACAAAAAATATATTTAAAAAAAAAAAGATTGCCATAGATGCCTGTAATTCCATCTACTTGGCATGTTGAGGGAGGAGGATTATAAATTTGAGGCCACCCTCGGTAATTTAGGGAGACCCTATCTCAAAATTAAAAGAAAAAGGAAGGAAGGAAAAATACTTAGGATGTAACTCAGTGGTGGTTCAAGATCAAAAGATTTACTGACTACTGGACTTAAAAAAAATTATTTTCCAGGCAATTTTCTTATGGTACTTGCTCCTCACCAAACATAAACTTTTTTGTTTGTTTGTTACTAGGAGTTAAGCCATTTGAATGCTTAACATGTGGAGTAGCTTGGGCCGATGCCCGATCTCTGAAACGCCACGTCCGAACACATACTGGTGAAAGGCCTTATGTCTGTCCTGTGTGTAGCGAAGCCTACATAGATGCTAGAACACTTCGTAAACATATGACTAAATTCCACAGAGACTATGTGCCTTGCAAAATTATGCTGGAAAAAGACACCCTTCAGTTTCATAACCAAGGAACTCAAGTGGAACATGCAGTTAGCATTTTAACTGCAGACATGCAGGAACAAGAAAGTAGTGGTCCTCAAGAACTTGAGACTGTGGTGGTAACAGGAGAAACCATGGAAGTTCTTGAAGCTGTTGCAGCTACTGAAGAGTGTCCATCAGTATCTACGCTTTCTGACCAAAGTATTATGCAAGTGGTTAATTATGTGTTAGCACAACAGCAAGGACAGAAGCTATCTGAAGTTGCAGAAGCTATTCAAACTGTTGAAGTAGAGGTGGCACATATATCAGAAGCAGAATGAATATAGTAGTGACAAAAAAAGAGCATATTTATACTGAACTCACAGAACATTTGTTTACAATTTTATGTGACTATCCACTTAAGAGTTTATATATGTCAAGGCTCTGGGCTGTTGGTGACATTTCTAAACTCTTTGTCTGGCCAATGAGTTCATGGAAGTCCATTTACTGTAAAGAAATTGAAAACAAATCTATATGATGGTAGTAGTTTATCATGGTATGCCCTTTATGAATTAATGTTTATTCAACAACTGTACTAAATTTAAAGCTGTACAATATCATTTGTATTTTGACATTATTATATATTTTGAGTTTATAAAAGGCTGCACCAGTTGGCTTTTCTTCTGTTTTATTCTGAAAATATAGAGGTTCTGTGATTTCAGTTGCCCTGTTTGTGAATTAAAAAGCCAATTCTAATATAAAGCATTTCAGTAGGATACTTAGGTGTATTACAGTTTTAAAATGCTTTAAGATCTGTGATTCTTGCTATTTATTTTAACCTCATGTCAGAGGTTCTTTATTCTGTTTTAAAGCACTTAATGAGTTACATGTTGTAATCAAGTTTGCACAATATATTTAAAGATATGGGAAACCCATAAATGAATAGCTAATTTTAATATGCCATTAAAATGCATGAGATGCCTTTTAAAGCCTTACTATACTACTATACTATCTCTTCAAGGCAGGTAATTGACAATGTGAAAAGAGTACTGTCAAAAATTGTTCATGGGCAATTTCTCCTTGATAATGTAGGAACATAAATAAAGACCAAAAAAAAAAAAACCCTCATTCTTTTGTTGAAGAATGAACAAGTTACGTTTCATATGTTTTTAACTTTTGCATCATGTTTGTTTCATTTTGTTGAAAAACTGAAGTTGAGAAGACAGCAATATAGACATCTACAGTGGTCCTGTGGATATCTCATAATTGTCAAGTAATTTTCGAATATTGAAAGTTCTTCAGTGTTGCCCTCTTCATAGTATACTACTTGAAAAAATTAATGGATTATGGTCCTTCCAAATTGTTGAAAATATTTTGAAAAGTTACCTCAACACTAAATTAATTCATGTGTTTGATTTTTGAATTCCCACCTCTCTAAGCTATCCAACTTTCTGATTTTCAAAATGACCATAGGGGAAATGCCACATTTCTCTTTAAGAAACTACCATTCAAGCTATAATTGTTAAAATTAAGCTTTTAGGTATTAGAAGCTGTTATAAGGTATAAAATTAAGATATAATCAAATTATATGTAAATCATTCCTAAAGCACAAGAAAAGAATGTGCCTTGATGTACATATATTATTAAGATGCTTATTTCAGTTTACTTTTAAAATGGCTTTAAGGATAAAGAATAAGTGTGACAGCTGTGCATGCATTATACTTAGATATGTAATATTTGCATTTGCAAATTTTTCATTGTTTTGATAGCTGTGTGGCTGAGTTTTAAGAAGTGAATCAACATACAGTCCATATGTTACACTGGCTGCTTGTTTATGGTATCTTTCAGTTCGTGAAAAAGTATTTCAATCGATTAAAATTTGGAATTGTGTCTTTTATGTTCCATTTTCACTATTGTTAGATTTAGTTAATTGTATAAGATAATTAATGTATGTCATAAATATGTAAATAAAAGATGTTGACTCTTGCTTAACAGCATAAGGTTTGAAGTTGAGCTTGTCACTATTTCTAATCTATAAATCATAGTTTCATTTAATAAAGTTAAAGAGTAAGAGAATCGAATACATTAAAAATAACTAGGAACATCTAATACTTGTTACTCTTAAATATAATCTTACCAGAAAATTAAATATAAGGCAAGTAAGTGTCAACTTTGGATAATTTAATTTTGTAGAGTTAGTTCAAGTGAAAAAATATATGAAGTTTCCAAAAATTCAGCAGTTTTAATGTCACCATGCAGGAAATTCCTTCTCCGTAGAAACTCATACTGCTTTGTTGTGATCAGATGACTTAAAAGAAACTGGATGGCTCCTGATCAGATTAGTGTTTTAAGAAACTCTTTTTTTATCTACTTGTTACAGCTATTGCTGCTAAACAATTTGAATCACTACTGTTAATCACTACAATGCATTTATTATCAGAAATTAAGTAATCCTTTAACCTGAGTTTTTTTCTGTTCATTTTTATTAAAAACCAATGGCTAGAAAATTTCAAAATGTTACTTACTTAAAGTACTGGATTTGGAGCTAATTCAAACTTTTAGGGTTGGTTTGTTTTTGTTTCTGTTTCTGTACTGTTTTTATAGCATTGGTATAAACCCTGGGCATAATGCATCGTACTTATGATTCTTTCAAACCCGTAATCTTCTTGGAGCTTTCTAATGGATTTTAAATCTAATGATTTGCACATATACAGGAAAAGTCAAAACCTTTCCCTCTGTTGATGCTACAAATTCATCAGTTTTTTTTGTGTAAAACAAGATACATAATTCATTTCTTTAACCCTTTTGAATATACCATGCTTACTTTATAGTCTATTATTTGAAGTTTTGATGTTTAATACTACTGTCAAGAATTTTCCTCAGGGAGTTTTACAAATTATTTTTTAAATTTTTTAATGTTTATTTAATTTTTTTTTTAGTTTTCGGTGGACACAACATCTTTGTATGTGGTGCTGAAGATCGAACCCAGGCCGCACACATGCCAGGCGAGCGCACTACCGCTTGAGCCACATCCCCAGCCTGAGTTTTACAAATTTTAGAGTGTATCTCCAAAAGGGCTTTACTATGTTGAAAAGTTTTTGTTCCCTCCAGAATTTATGTTGAAACTTTGTCCCCATGGCAAAATTAAGAGGTGTAGGATTTGGACAGTCATTAGGTCATAAGGGCTCCACCCGACCCTCACTAATATATTGGTGCTTTTTTAAAGCACTGGTGAGAAACAGCTAGGTTCTTTTTGCCTCTTTTGCTCTTCTGCTTTCTGCCATGCAAGGATGTAATGACAGGTGTCATCTCAGCTGCAGAAGGACAGTGTTCACCAAACACCAAGTCTGAAGTGCTTTGATCTTGGAATTCCTGCCTCCAAAATTTAGAAAATAAGTGTTTGTGACTTATAAATTATAGAGTGGTATTAACAGCCTGTGTCTTCCCAGGTAAGGAAATGTAATTTGAACTCTAGACCCAAGTAAGGACAAATCCTTTGTTCTAAATCTTCAGTGGAGGCTTTTGGTCCACCTGGAGCTCAGCCTGAGAGTTAAATATCTTTATCTTGGCTGGTGAATGGAGTTTTTCTGGTTTGTGCTTTCACTGAAGATCTAACCCTTCACTGGTGTCAGCATTGTATGGAGTTCTCAGTTCCAGTTTTTGTGGACCTAAATCTTCTTGTCACCAGTTTGAGTGTCAAATGCCAGTCCCTTTAAGACTAGTAAGTCTCATCTACCACAATTTTAACTGGGTTTCCTCTGTTAGAGGCCTCTACAACCTTCTTTAACAAACATAATAGCATGATTTTCAAAGGAGGTTGTTATTGCCAAACAGATTTTTGAGTATTTTAGTCTGCTAAATGCTAGATGGAAACTGTCAAGTAGTAGTGTTTATTATTATTATTGTCTATTTTTAATGAAAGGTGGTTACGCTCTTCATTTTAAGAATTATATTTCGTCAGTCTGCTCTCACTGATTATATATTTTGATAGTTTTACTTTTGATAGCTTTTTCATTCCCTTTTTCTCCCTTCTTGCTAACCTGGGAGAATCCCCCTATCCCATCTCTCTAGCTCTTTTTTATTTTTTTCTTTTGAGATAGGGTCTTGCTAAGTGCATAGGCTGACCTTAAACTTGTGATCCTCCTGCCTCAGCCTCCCAATTTATTGGGATTTGTAAGTGTGTGCCACCATCCCAACTTGAGAGAATTTTTGTAATTTTTTTAAACTGTTCTCACTTGTCTTTTGACTTTTCCAAAATTATATTTCTTTTCTTTTTTCTTTTTTTGTAATACCTAGTACTGAGGATTAAACAGGGCTCATGCATGCTAGGCACACACTCCACCACTGAGCTATATATCTCCAGCCCTTTTTATTGAGTCAGTCTAATTTTCTTCTAAATATGCTGACTTTTCCAAAGAAGTTCAGGCTGCCATCTTTGTCATAAATCATGGGTACATACATCTGTGGGCTTGATTTTGGACTTCTTATTCTGCCTCTTTGTTTTTTCTGTGTCCTTGCACCAATAACACTCAAGGAAGTTTTATAATTTTGATACCTGATAAGAGTCCTCCCACTTTATTTGTCTTGGCTATTCTTTCCATGTAAATTTTAGAATTAGTCTGTCAATTTTCATAATAAAAATAGGCTTGGATTTTGATTGGAATTCCATGGGCTCTATAAATAAACTTGGGGAGCATTTTTATCTATAACATTGTGCATGGCATATTTCTCCACTTATTTAGGTACCGTCAGTTCCTCTCTTAATATCTCAGTCTGTAAATATTGTCAGATTTTTGTTATTTCATATTTTTGTGCAACTGTGAATGGTACTGCCTTTTTTACTTTTCAGTTTGTTCTGGTATATATATAAATAGAAAAACATACTCCAGGTTAGGGTTGTATCTCAGTGGTAAAGTGCTCGCCTAGCACATGGGAGGCCCTGGGTTCAATCCTCAGCACCACATATAAATATTGTGTCCAACTACAACTAAAAAATAAATATTAAAAAAAATAAAAACATACTCAAGTTTTACATTTTTTGCACATTTTTGTTTTGTTTTTTTTGATGGTACAGGGATTGAACCCAGAGAACTTCTATCACTGAGTCACACCTCAGTTAAACTTTTTATTTTATTTTGAGACAAGGTCTATGTTGCCGACACTGACCTTGAACTTGCAAACTTGTATTTTTTTCTAAATTCGGAATAATGGGAGTTTAGTGGATATTCCAAATAAGATGCCCCCAAAGAATCCTCTTGGTGCGGGGGGGGGTGAGGGGGGAGATTTAGGATAACAGTTCATTTGTATTACATTACATAAGAAAAGTGAACAAATATTAATAAATGTTCTGTGTCCATGAGCAATAATTAGGTGGATATCTATAGTGCCTTGAGGTCTTTGGTCAGAGAAAGTTTCATACATGTTAAACCCTAACATGATAGCCAGCTTAATTTGCCTTGTTGAGAGATGCCTCTACTTTCCACTCATTTCTGAAATGTGGGATCTATGTAGAAAAACTGTGATATATAGGAAAATGCAAAGGAGTAAATATAAGAACAATAATTATCAACAGTGGACTCCCAAGCAAATGGAGGGCTACATAGCACCGAGGATTTTTCATATATTGATTGAATTGGGTTTTCCAAAATGTCTTCATTGTGGTGGTGGACAGCTTGGTGTGCTGTTATTTCCTGCAGCAGCCATACCTTCTCAAATTTTTGAATTTCAGCCTTTGGGCCTCTCCTAAGATTTGTTTTTTAATATTTATATTTTTAGTTGTAGATGGACTTAATAATACCTTTATTTATCTTTACGTGGTGCTGAGGATCTAACCCAGGGCCCCACACATGCTAGATGAGCTCTCTACCACTGAACAACTCCAGCCCTCTTTTCTAAGATTTTAAGTATTTCTCTTATTCACTTATTTCTTCAGCCCTCAGTACTCTTACACCTAAGAGGTAAGAGTACTTAGTACTCTTAGGTATAAGAGTATACCTGCTTCTCCCGAAAGTTAATACCTCACGTTTGCCCTTGCTAAAACAATGTTGAGGAAGCCTTTGACAAAATTCAACATCCAGTTCCTGCAAAAGCCCTTAACAGGAATTTGGTAATTGAAACATTTTATACAATGTTTATTTTGGTCCTTTTATTTAGTAGTAAAACACAAGGGAAGCTTCAATTCAGAGCAAGACTAAGGCAATGAAACTCTACTATTATTTAGTACTGTACTAGTTTTAAATAATATAAACAGAAGAAAAATGAATTAGAGGCACAATTGGTAAGAAATTAAACTGTCTTGGTTTGTAGGTTTGAGGGCGCATCTGAAATCCTACAGAATCAGTGATTAAAAAAAATTCAGGGGGTTGGGGTTGTCGCTCAATGGTAGAATGCTCATCTAGCACGTGTGGGGCTCTGGGTTCGATCCTTAGCACCGCATAAAAATAAAATATCGTGCCCAACAACTACTAAAACAAAATATTAAAAAAAAATTCAGTTGAGTGTTTAGATATATTGTGTTACTTTTCTTCTTTATGTGGGTATTGAAAGGTAAAATTGCAGATGACTTTTTTTTGGACAGCACCACTCTAAAACAAACTAACACCTGGATTCAAATTCTGATTTCCTCACTTAATCATAGCTATATGCCACAGGGAAAGTTACTTTTCTAATAATTTCCTCATCTTTAATATGGTGATAATGACAACAGTATCCACCTTATAGGTTTGTAAGTCTAAAGCACATAAAACAAAGTATTTATAAATGATAACAAAGAGAGCAAAAATAATTGATAGCGAGATACACAAAATATAGAAATTAATCGTCTTTAGATCTAGAAACAATAACCAGCACATAATGGTAGAGAAAACCCCATTTCAGTAGCAACAAAGACTAAATACTTTGGGATAAACTCAACAAAAAATGTGTAAAATTTGTATGTAATAAAAATTTTAAAATGCTCCCCAAAGACACAAAGGCAGACTGTTCTTCATTACTAAGA